CGCGGGGACTGGGCCCAGAAAGGCCCCAGGCTCCTGCGTGTGAGTGCCGGGCAGGCCCCCGGCCCGAGCTCCTGAGCTGGGAGGTCCGGGGTGTGTTCCGGAAGCTGCGTGTAACAAGCCCGGGAGTCCCGAGGCGGGAGGTGCCAGCTGCACAGAGACCCGAGAGACGAAAGGGGGCACAGGAGGGACCCCAGGCTAATAATGTCAGCGGCCCAGGCTCCGGGGGCCTCTGGGCCCACTCGGAGGGGGAGGCACCAGTCCCCAGCTGCAGCTCCCTCCGGCCGTCGCCCCTGACAAGCCGCCTGTCCCAGGGAGCCCGACCCGCCTCTCTGAGACCCACTGCTGCGGTCACCTGGGCCCGGAAGAATCATGGGTGCCTTGCGCGTTTTCTTTTTCCTTCTTTAAAAAAGCATGACATAAAATTTGCCATTTGAAGCATCTGCAAGCGTTTTAGTTCAGCGGCATCCGGTGCAGCCATGTTGTCGCACGGGCCCCCCCCATCCATCTCCGGAACCCTTGCCTCTCCCCAAACCCCTCATCCATCTCCGTCCCCGCCACCCAGCAGCACCCCCCCCAGTTTCTGTCCGTGAGCCGACTCCCCAGACACCGTGCACGGGTGGAGTCGCCCCCGTAGCGGTCCGTTTGCATTTCGCCCATCACAGTGGCCCCAGGTCCCTCCAGGTGACAGCCAGTGGCAGGGTCTCCTCCCTTGTGGCTGCGTGATATTCCATTGTCTGGATGGACCACGTCGCCCCCACAGGGTCCCCTCCCGCTTGATCCCATCCTTGGGGCTGGTGCCTCTCAGCTTTTTCATCTGACCTCCCAACTGGCGATAATAATGACGATGATGATATAATTACTGTGATGGGTTAAATGGACAACACCCCCCAAAAATATGTCCCCCAGAACCTTTTAAGGGACCTTACTTGGAAAAGGGTATTTGGGGATGCGATGAAGTTAACGATCTTGAATGAGCTCACCCCTGGGTTAGGCTGCGCCCTCCACCGGACACCGTGTCCTCGGAAGAGGAGAGGAGGGAGACACAGAAGCCTGAGACCACAGACCAGGGGCTGCCGCCACGTGGCCACTGTCGCAGCCACGCCTGAGTCACTGGGGCTGGATGAGGTCACCGAGGGTCCTCCCCCTGCCTCCCCCGGTTCGGGGGAGCTGGCCCTGCTGCCACCATTTCAGACCACTTTTTAAAAAATATTTTACTTATTTATTTTTAGAGAGAGGGGAAGGGAGGGGGAAAGAGAGGAAGAGAAACGTCAGTGTGTGGTTGCCTCTCGCGCGCCCCCTACTGGGGTCCTGGCTCACAATGAAGGCATGTGCCCTGACTGGGAATCGAACTGGCAACCCTTGGGTTCACAGGCTGGTGCTCAGTCCACTGAGCCACACGAGCCGGGGCCGATTTCAGACGCCTGCCTCCAACCCCCCCGAGAAGATCAGTTCCTGTTGTCGCAAGCCCCCCAGCAGTCCCAGGAAACCCACACAGGGACATTCGATGGGAGGCCGCCACGAGTTCTCTGGCCACCCCCTCGCAGAGGGTCCCTCTGTCACGTCACAGGTCACTGAGGTCCTTCGTGTTAAGTAACTCGCCCCCCGGGCGGCCTGCGGAGACGTTGCTTCACCGCTCCGACGTCCGCGCCGGCACCCTCGCCGCCGCGGTGGGCCTCACCCCGGGGCCCCGCCAGGGTAGACCCAGGGGGCCGCTTCTTCCGAGAAGGATGTTGTAAGTGTTTTACAGTCATTCCGCTATTATGTTGATTATTTACGGCCAGTTCTGGGGACATAAAATTGTAGCTGTATTGTTTGTAGTAAATTCTATTTCCATGGCTTTAAAACACTAACAAACAAAAATCACCCTCCTGTTAGGAGCTGAGTATTGTCATCATTCTGCGGAATACAAATTTTACCGCAATAACGACAGTGAAATCCCCTCAAGGAGCCGCGGGGCAGGGTCCCTGGGAATGGACGCCACCTCTGGGCCGTGGCACGGACTCGCTCCGCTCTGCCTGCAAAGGGGTCGCTGCCGGGTATGCGGCCCCTTGGCAGGGGACCAGGCCTCCGGGGCCCGACTGAGGCCGCGGGCCCAGCCTGCCCTCTGACAGCGCACAAATAAAACCAGTGACGTCCTTTGGAGTCAAATTTTCAGTCACCCTGCTGACGAGAATTCTTCAAGGCTGCCTTTGCAAAGCTACAAAATGCAAAAAAAAAAAAAAACACACACAAAAACAAAACCAAAAAACCCAACCACACAAAAAACCACTTCAGCTCCGGGATAAAAAGGTAAGAAACCCAAGGGGTGGACAGGACCAGGGCCACCAGCGAAAACCCAGCTCAGCCTGAATCCCGGACGCAGCACCGTCCCGCTCAGTCACTGTGAGTGTGTTTCACGCGCCTTGTGGACTCGTTATCTGAAACTCACACCGACCGAACTTGTGCCTGGACGTTGGCTCGCTGGTCGTATTAAATTTGGCCACCTTAGGTGGGACTAAAGACCAAGAATGGACCTCCGCCCCCAGAAGTAAATTCTTAAAGGGAACAACTGAGGGGCCTGGGGACAGTCGCCTGAGCAGCTGCTTGGCGCCGGCCAGGCAGGGGGTCCTTGGTCTCCGCTGGTTTGCCGTGTCCCCGCAGCCTTGGCACTGGTCATTCAGGCACACGAGTGAATGATAAGGGACGCAGGTGTGACAGGGACGCAGGTGTTCTTCCATTGAAGCCACACGACTGTGACGGGAAGTGGGGGCGTGGAGGTCACCAGTTTGCAAAAGAGAGACCGAGTAGCTGGCTGGTCACACGGCTAAACAGGGACCAGGACTGGGGAACCCGACGTCTTCCCCTGAGGGCAGGGTGAGGTCACACGGGGGGCACTTCCAGGCGAGCCCGACGTGACGTGTCCACTTGGAGACTGAGTGTGCAGGAGGCCTGGCTTCCAGGGCAACCCGAGCCCCCAGGAAAAGCCAGCTCAGGGCTTGCCAGCGAGGGCTCGTTTTGGCCCAGAGGCTGTGGCACCCAGGTGGGACCAGCCACTTCCTTCCAACAGGAGGAAGTCAGGAGGGTTGCACCCCAGGGACCCCCCCAAATAGGCTCCCCCGCAAGAGGACTCCATGGGTGAGCCCCCTGTCCCGGTCCCTCTTGGGTTTGGCCTAATTTGGGTGAACACCAGCAGTGCATGGACAGGTGCCCACGAAGACGCCCTCCCTGCCCCGAGGACGCCCCCCACTCCCCACCTCCGGTTTCAGGAACACTCCTGGGCTCAGCGCTTAGACAGACACCCACATCCCTGGACACGCAGATCTGTGTTTCTGCTTTTTGTGTTTTCTTAATGCAAACAAGGTGGCAATGCAACAGTGATCCCCCAATATACCCCGAAGTCGGCTGCTTCCCCATGCAGTGGTCTCCCAGGGTGCCTGCAAGGTCCCCCGACACTGCTCCCCGCCCCGCAACCTGCCTGTACATTTCCGCCTGGAGCCTGGGCCCCAGGCTCCCTCCAGTTCCTGGAACAAACCCCCCCCCCCAGTGTCTCCCCCAGGGCTGTGGTCTCCCTAGGCCGTTTGCTCCAGCTGTCCCCAGGCTCCTTCCTGGCTGGCCCCTCCTCGCAGCCGACCACCTGCGTCTTGTCTGCGGGGCCTCCGGGCCCTGGAGCAGCGAACCATCAGCTGGCTCACCAGGGGCACCGAGATGAGGAGGGAGGGAGGAGTGAATGGATGGCAGGCCGCTCAAGGCTCAAGCTCGTCTCACACAAAATCTGACACCCATCGTGTCCGCGCTTATCCTGGGGGGCCGCCACTTACTGGCCCACTCAGCTGTAGCTGTGGGGTCCCCCAACCTCCTCCTTGTTGCAGTAAATCCTCCAAAAGCCACGAGAGCAGCTTCCTTCTCGCCCCCCCTCCCCCGCCTATTGGAAGATTCTGCCTGCAGTAGGCACCCCTGCAGCTGCGGGGTCAGGGGTGCCTGCCGGGGGCGGGGCCTCACTGACATGTGCTTTGCATAATGCTTTGCATAAATGCCACAGCCTTCCCTTCCTCCCAGCAGGGGCATCCCCGGGCAGGGGCAGGGTGGGGCAGGGTGGGGCAGGGTGGGGCGGGGACCCAGGCCCAGATGAGTGTCCTCAGAGCAACCTGCTCCCAGGACTGGGCATTTGAAATGCCAGACAGAGGGCAGAGGGCTACTGCAGGCCCCTGAAGAACTGGGAGAGTCAGGAGCCGGGCTGACTGCGCTGGGTCCGGGAAAGGTGGGCACAGAGGGCAGACCCCCTGACCTCTGTCTCCCAGAGGCCAGGTCACAGGGTGGAGCTTCTGGCCACAAACAGCGGGGTGGGGGGGGATGGAGGCTTCAGAGCTCCCCAGATGCTGCTTCCTTCCTCTTTCTGGAAAAGGAGGGCCGCCCTGCACGCCCTGGGCACCTGCCCAACGGCCTCCCTGGAGACCGCTCGTTCCCGCACTCGAGTGACTGGGGGTGGGCAGGGGCAAGGACCGCCCACCCTTCACGGTGAGCCCCAGGTTCCAGGAGAGCAGAGCAGGGGAGAGGTGTCGGCATGCAGTTCTGTGCCCTCTGCCTTGTCCCCCTTGCTGAAGAGAGGCAGGGACAGCCCTGGGTCCCTCAGAGCAGGGTCACAGGGAGCCCTGGAGAAGGTCCCAGCCCCCCTGCCTGGGAAACACCCTCTCTTTCCTGCCCCACAGGTCCTGGGAAGGACGCAGGGACCCGCTCCCCCACCCCCAGCATGTCGGCAGGTGCGCAATTCAGACCTGGCCGGGAAGGTGTCTGGGCTGGTGGCAGGTTGAAGAAGGGGCATTGGTGTCCCCAGACCCTTTAGCAGGAGTCCCCAGTGGCCCTGCTTTTTTTCCCAGCTGTCCCTCAGAAGGGCCCACTCCCCCTGTCTAGGGGCAGGATAGCCCCAGCTCTCGCCTCCAGGATGGCCTTAGTCAGGGAGGGGTGGGGGATGGGGGCTGCGGGGAGCAGGGGGAGGAGACAGTCATCAGCGTGGGGGGCTGATGGGAGACAGCTGAGGTGGGGCAGGGCCCTGGGCTCAGGCCACAGAGAAGCCGGCACCCCACCCCACATTCTGTCCTTCCCGGAATGGAGGGCCCCCTGGGGTCTCAGCAGAGCTGCCTGCTGGTAAGTCCCTTCCCCAGTGGCCCCTGGGCCCCTCCCACAGCCCAGCTGTGCCGGCTGCCCCACAATGGCCCCTGCAGCAGGTGGCCTCCTGTGGCCCTGAGGCCCCAGGGGTGGCGGGTGGGTGTCCACACCCAGCTGGCTCGGCCCCTCTTTCTGCAGAGGCTTCCTCCACGCGCAGCCCTTGGCTCACGGGAAATAGCACTGATGCCCAGACTTATGCGCCGTACAGGGAGCAACAAAGACCCCTGCGGGGGGGGCAGCAGTGGGCAGCAGTGGGTAGCAGGCAGGCGAGGGACTCTGCCTCCCTCTGAGCTCCATCTGAAGTCTCGGAGACCCAGCCCCCGAAGGCCCTCCTCAGCGTCCTGTCTGGCCAGGAGAAGCACACAGCGAACCTATTCCAAGTTCAATACCACGTTCAACACTGTGCCCCAGTACTGGGGCAGGCTGAGGGGCAGGGCGCCAACGATGAAAGGCTAGCGGAGCCCGCAGCCAGCTCACCGGCCAGGGGGCAGGGGGGCCGCCTTCCTCCCGGGGTCACGACAGCTCTGTCGGCGAGGAGCTCTTCTGTCCACAACGCCTTCGCCTCCAAAGGCCTCGCCCTGGGGGAGAAGGAACAATTCTCAGTGCCTGCCGTCCCCTAGCCTCCCTGCACCCCACTGCTGTCCCGGCCTCCGGGTCCGCCTCCCCGCTTCCCTGGCAGTGACCTGGTGATGCCCACCCTGCCCTGGCAGGGGCCCAGGGGCCTTTGGATCCTCCCCGTGTGCTTTCGGGCAAGTCACTGTCCCCACCAACCCCATGGCTTCACCCACAATGGGCCTGGTACAGCACCCACCTCACTGGCAGCAGGGCGCGCCTCGCCTAACGGGCCTCTGAGGCGGACAGGCCAAGACCTGCGGGTGTCTCTGGGTCAGTGCTCCAGGTCGTTCGGGGCAGGTCCTGAGGCCTTGCTAGTCAGCGGGGGCAAGTCCCAGGCTCAGCGGTCTGCTCACTGGCACTAGTCCAGGTGTCCCTGCGTAGGACCGTCCCGGGCTGCAAACTGAGTGGCCGCAACAACTGCCATTTATTACGTCATAGGTCTGGAGGCCAGCAGTCCAAACTCCAGGGCTCTGGGGGAGTCTTTCCTCAGCTCTTCACCTCTGGGTCCCAAGCACCCCTTGGCTTGTGGCAGCCCCCCTCCAGTTTCCGCCTCCATTCCCCCACTGCCTCCTCCCCTCTGGGCCTGGTCTCCAGTCTCCTTCTGCCTGCACCTCCCGAGGACACCAGTCCTTGGACGCGGGGCCCGCCCAGATAAGCCAGGATCTCATCGAGAGACCGTTAACCAACTACATCTGCAAAGACCCTCTTTCCCAATCAGGCCGCCTGCACAGGTCTGGTTTAGGACACGGACGTATCCTTTGGGGGGACTGCCATTTACTGGGGTCTCATGGCAGCTTCTTTGGGGTTCCCCCACGGCCTGTGACTGCAGACTCTTTCTGCCTAGTGTCCACTTGTCACAGCCACAGCCTTGGGCATCGGTACCCTGGCGGGTGCCCCTGGCGGCCTTGACCTTGCCACAGGGTCCTCGCTTCTCCCACAGGGTCCCCCAAGCCTGCACAGCGAGGTCAGCCGTTGGGACCGTTCCAGAGCCCATTCTCTCCTCCTGGGGGTGGGCAGGGTTCAGGGACTGCCGTCCCCTCCCCCGCTGCAGTCGGTTGGGCGCTGGGATGACAGTCCGCCAGCGCTGAGCCCCGGCCTCCTCTCGGAGGGTCAGGGGACCACAGAGCAGCCTTCACGTGACCCTGAAGCCACCGCTGTGCCCAGTGCTTGCGCACACTCCCTCTCTCTCTCTCTCTCTCTCTCTCTCTCTCTCAACAGCTGCTAACTAGTGCCAGTTACAAGAAACAGAAACCCAGCTCCCTCGGCTGAGAGACGCAAGGAGAGTGACATGCAAATCAAGCCCAGAGTGAGATGCCCCTGGGAAGGTGCCGGCTCTACCATCAACAACGAAGCAGAAAAGAACTAGGGTTGGGGAGGATGTGGCGAGACGGGAGCCCGGGGGCCTCGCCATTGGGAATGAACACGGGTGGGAGGCGGGAGGTGGTGTGGAACTGGAACCAGAGAATGGCTCTGTGACCAAGTGATTGCCCTTGAGACCCACAAGAAGAACCCAGAGCAGGGTGGCCACAGGTACGCGCACACCCGAGTTCACAGCAACGTGGCTCACGATCGTCAGCAGGTGGGAGCCACCCCGGTGTCCGTCATCCGAGGACGGACAAGCTGATGGGTGTCTCTCAGCCTCACACAGGCAGGAAGCCCTGCCACCTGCTGCGGCAGGCAAGGAAGGGCCTGGAAGGCGTGGTTTAGGGGAAATGAGCCGGCACAACGGAAAGTGGAAGGGCGGTGCCGGGGGCGCGAGGGGAGGGGGCGCTTCTGGTTCCCGGCCCGAGGGTCAGGTTGGGACGACGAAGCCGTTCTTGACGTTGACGGCTGGCCACATGGCAGCGCACAAGTGCCCAGTGCCGGAGCCGAGCCCTTACGGTAACTGTGTCAGGTGTATTTTGCCTCAAACTTCGAAAGGTTGAAAATACCTGCACGAGAAAAAAACGACAGATTAGACAACTATGGGGACATTGATGTCCCGTGAGGACGCACTCATTCAGCCTGTCTGCCTGCTTTTGTTTTTTGGTTTTTAAATACTATTTTCACAGTGAAACTTAAAAATGAAAAAGGGGAGCCCTGGCCGGTGTGGCTCAGTGGATCGAGTGCCGGCCTGTGAACTCAAAGGTCACCGCTTCGATCCCCGGTCAGGGCACACGCCTGGGTTGCAGGCCAGGTCCCCAGCTGCAGGCGTGTGAGAGGCAACCGCACATTGACGTTTCTCTCTCTTTCTCCCTCCTTTTCTCTCTCTAAAAATGAATAAAATATTTTTTAAAAAATGAGAAAGTGGAACCCGAGGGACCCACCTGCTTCTTCATGTGTCTGTGACAATGACGCCCCCACGCCCTGGGCCGCACCAGCCGTCTTCGCTCGTCCGTCCAGGCCGCCGTGACAGAAGGCCACACAGGGCGACTCGTCAGCAACAGAAATGGATTTCTCACGGTTTTAGAGGCAGAAATTCCAAGATCAAATGGGGACCAGGTTCTGGGAAGGACCTCCTCCCCGGCTCACGGTGGGCGGGCCTCTCACTGTGGGATCCTGTGGGTGGGAGACACCAAGAGCTCTGTGGGGTCCTCACTGAGGGCACAGTCGCACAGACGGGGGCAGAGCCCTGGTGACCTGCCCCCACCAAAGGCCCCACCTTATTAACACTGTCACCTCTGAGGGGTAGGATTTCCTTGTGTGGAACCGTCAGATCCAGTTGCTCCCAGCCTGGGTCTGCTGAACCCCAACAAACCCACAGCAAGGAGAGCAGAAAATAAACAATAAAGTTGTTGAATGCCATCAAGATAGTGGGACTATTTGTTACGTGGCCCATTAGGGCAATAGCTGACTGATACAGGGACGAACACCGACCCTCCGCAGGAACACAGGGGCGGCTGACGGCGGGCCGCAGCTCTCCATTCTGCCCCTGCCTGGGACGCAGAGGCCTTCAGACCGCATTCCTTCTCTCCTCCTATGCTGTGCCCTTTATGCACGGCCACCAACTGTTCCCAGGTGCCACGTACCTAGCTTCAGCCACCGTAAGGAGAAGTTGCAGAAGCCAGCTGAGGTCTCCACGAGCTCCTGATATACTGCACTGAGGGCGGGCAGGCACCATTCCTAGAGGCGAGGGGGAGGAGGAGGCAGGGAAAGCAAAAGGCATCGCTGTAACCTGGAGTCTGGCTCTGACGTCTACGGATCTGGTATCATGGGGCCGTCATCTGGGTCAGGTGCGCCTGGAGAGGCAGCCGTGCGGCCACTCCCCCTCACAGGGCTGTCGGGAGGAGCCGAAGTTCCTGCACAGAGCAGATGCTCCAGAAAAACAGAGAGGCATGCTGTCCGCAGCCCTGGGAGGAGTCGGATGGTGGAGGCGGTACAGGCTGGGCACAGGAGGCGCAGCCGCCTGCACTGGCCTCTGCCCCCCAGTGTCTGCTGCAGCCTCCTCGCTGAACCCAGCCGAGGGGGTGTATGGGGGGCACATCCTCATTCCCTGGGGGGCTGGCTGTCCTCATGTGCTTCTGAGCAATGCCCTCACTGGCCAACTACACCTCTGGGGTCACATCCACTCCTCTGTCCCCCGTCCCCAGCTCCGAGTCTCTCAGCGCCCTGCCCCTTCCCTCCTTTGCACACGCCGGAGCCGGCACAGCCTCTCTACCCCGCATTGTGGTCTCAGCCCAGGCCCCGTCACGGCTCATCTGGACCAGGTGCTCGGCTCTCCTCCCAGCCCCCCAGCCAGGTCTGCTCTCTCCAGCCCACACGCCACACAGCTGCAGGGCTGGGTTTGCAGTCCAGGTCTCCACGTGCCCGTGCAGGTGCCGGCTGTCACAATTACTGATGCCCAGCAGCCGGGTGGGGGCTGACCCCTCTCGTGGCGCTCGGGGCACCCACTTTGTCCCCCGAGGCTGGCAATCACACCGGAGCCCAGGTCTTCAAGTCCGACGAAGAGGGTGTGGGAGTCCAGCGTTGACACTCAGCGTCCTCACGTTTATCTGTCCGTCCATCCATCTATTCATCTGTCCATTCATTCATTCATCCAACAGGCCCTCACTGGTTCCCATCAGGGAACAAGCCCACACCCGATCTCTATAGGGCTTACTCAGGGTTGTAGAGGATTAAGGAGCCCCTGGAACGTGCTTGGGATGGGGCCTGGCCTGGAGTAAAAGCTGTGGAGCTGTTTGCTCTTGTGACAAATCACCAGCACCCTCGAGCAAGCCTGGTCTGGCCCTGAGGGCAGAGCCTGGCCCCTCCGTCCGCCCACCTGTTTACATGGCTGAGCCCCCACTCGACATTTATTCCCCTGCCACTCCCGAGGGCTGCACAGGGGCTGGAGGATGGCAGAAGTGCCGGACTGAGTGGAGGGAGACCCATTGAGCCCGGGGCAGCCCACAGGTTCAGTGGGTGCCTCTCCCCGAAGGACCTGGCCCCGGGACAGAAGTCTGCCATGCAGCAGGACATGCCCCAGCCCGACTCCTTATGAGGAGGGGTCCCCTCTCCTTGGGGAAAGGGGGCCTCCCACCTTGTCTCTTGGAAGAGAAATGGGCAGAGCTGTGGTTGAGGGGCAGAACGAGCAGCCCCCTTCTTCCCGAGAAGGGGGCCGGGACCCAGGCAAGGGCCAAGCCCCGGTCCTGCAGAGGGAACCTGTCCAGCTGCCGGCCGGGCAGCTCCCGCACAGGCCGGCGGCCGGGAGTCCTCTTTATCATCTGCAGCAAAGCATTTACAGTCAATAAACGGGCTAATTAATTCTCTTCAAAGACCTCTCAATTATTCATCCTGGGCTACAGAGAGAGCAATTAGAGCGTGTCCTGCTTACAGCTCTGGACACGCAGCTGCCGGGCGGGGCTGCGGTGCTGAGCCCCCGGCCTGCACGGCCCCAGGGGCCTGCAGGGGCCCCTCTGGGACAGAAGAGGGGCAGGCAGTCCTGGGGGCCCAGCAGACCAGCTCTTCTCCCTCAAACCTGCGAGCAGCCCACATCACCATCCCCACTTCTCAGGCGAGGTAAACAGACCCTGAGGGTCAGTCCCCTCTGTCCAACAGTCCATCAGGGCCACCTGTGGGCAGGTTGCCAGGCTCTGGGCCTGCAGCCCACCTAGGGGGCTTCCGGTGCCGGGCAGTGGGGCCCCAGGGCCTGAGCTAGACACGGGCCCCGTGTTTCTAGGACGGAAGTTGTGCTGGGAGAGGGCAGAGGAGGGACCAGCAGCTGCCGCCCCAACGGCAGTGAGGTCCCCCTGGAGAGCTGGGGTCCCCCTGGAGAGCTGGAGCCCAGCCCCGGCACACCAGGAGTGGCCCTGACCCCAGCAAGTCTCCTCCGGGGAGGGGGCCTTATGTCGGGAACTAGTGTCCTTTTTCCCCTACAACTTCCTGGCGTTGCTCAAGTCTGCTTGCTGGGGCCTTGAGGGACAGGGCAGCTGGCCTCTCCCCTGTGCACCTTCTCCTCGCCTCCTCTATGCCCAGGCCCCCACTGTCGGCTCTGACTCCCCAAACTCCCCCAAAGAGCATCTGCCGGTAACTGGAGGGTTAACTCCCAGCTGCTCCCAGACCGAGCAGTGGGGGTGGGGGTGGGGGGGCGTGCCTGTCGGGAAGTATGGATTTCTGCAGTGGTTTTACTGGAAAAGCTGTAGCTGAAGGTGGGAGGGGGTCACCATGGCAACTTCTGGCTCAGGGAACAGGTTGGCTGCTGGGGACCAATTCTTCTAGGGGCCCAAGGGGGCCCGGCGGGCGCCTGGCACCCAGAGGCCGCACGGCTGCCTCCCTGGAGTCCTCACCCTTTGGGGGAAGCAGAGACCCTCCCCAGCCTGGAATGACCACCTTCCCGCCTCCCTCCAGCGAGGGACGGTTCCCCAGGGCTGGGCCCCTGCCTGGGCTGCCGCCCCAATCGCAGGCCCGCCCCCCACGCCCACTGTTAATGGAGGGACCCAGTTACCGAGCCGCCCGGGGGAGCTGGCGGGACTCTCCCTCCAGAAGGAGTTTTACTCCTGAAAGAGTCTCACCTCCAGGGCCTGGGGTGAAACTTGGGGAGTGGCCTGAATGCGCCAGGCCCTATGCGGGGAGTCTAGGATTCCAGGGGGCTCAAGAGCTCACCCCACCGGCTCCCACCGGGAGGATTCCGGCCTAAGTGGCCAGTTCAAGAAAGTCCTCCCAACCCCCAGGGCCCACCCACCGCCCCGCAGCGAGGCACCTCCAGAAGCCGGAAGTGAGGTGGGGACAAGCAGCCCCCAGGCAAGGGGGACCCTGGGTTCACCTCCAAATCTGACGCCCCCTCCCACTTGCCACCCCAGGTAATTCCAGGAGGCTGGGGTCCCACCGAGTCCCGCCCCCTCCTGGTGACCCCCAGTGCTCTGGTCGGGAAGGACCCTGCAGTCGACCAGAGAGCTGCCGGCACTGCCGGTGGGAGGGGTCCGGGACTCCCGGGGTCCTCCGCCTTCAGTTCCTGGGGTTCCAGGTGGGGGGAGGCATTGGCTTCGGAGCCGCCCCCCCTTACAAATCCTGCAGGCGCAGGGTGGGCGAGTGCAAGGGAGGCGCTGTGTGTGCCCTGGAGGCCCTTCCAGGAATCTGCGAGGGCGCTGCCCCAACGGCCAGGAAGAGAGGGCATATGGAGGGCACAGGCGGTGGGGGCCGGGCGGGGGCGGGGCACGTGAGGGGCAGGCTCGGGCCCACGGGGCCACCACTCGCCGCTGGGCAGGAGGTCCTGCGACGGGGGACTCCCCCGAACCTCCATCTGCTCGGCCTAACGGAGCAGGGTAAGACCACTCACCCCCCAAAGGGTGCGGAGCGCCCAGCAGACCGTGGATGCCCGGCCTGCGCGGGGGTGCGGGACTCACAGTCGCCGCCGTTCTCGCCTCCCCCCACGCCCAGTAGGAAAATCTTGGGACCCCTCTTAAGGCCGCTTGGGTTGCCGCCGAGATGAGGCTCTGCGCCCTCCTTTCGTCCCCCCGGACGCACCGCGGAGAACAGGCGCCCCCGCTGGCGGGGTCCCCGCGGGCCTGAGCTGGGGGGTAACCCTGCCCCAGGTGTGACCTCCCGCGGGCCCGCCAGCTCCCGCTTCCCGACGACGACGCCCACCAGCGCCTGAAAGGCTCTAACCGACCACGGATCCGCATCCTCCCCGCCCTCCCCCCGTCGGTTTAGGGGACGCCTAAATCGGCTTCCCGGCTCCCGCAGCTCCAGTCCGGTCCCCTCCCCGCCCTCGCGCCGCCTGGGGCATCCATCTGGCGCTCTCGGATCTCGGATCTGCCGAGTCCCGATAAAACATTTGGGGGAGATAAGTGCTACATATAAATAATTAAGACCACATGCATATTCGCCAACAACAAAAAAAAAGTTTAAAACCCCCATTCCGGGAACAGCTGCGCGTGTGGGGCCCGGGCGGGGCTGCGGAGACCCGCCCCCACCCC